ATTTTGAAAATAAATGCTTGTTCAGGTGGCTTAGGTGGTTTAAGTCCAGGTTGCAAAGGTTAACTTCAAATTCTGAAAAGTGTTCTTTGGTCTCAACTCTTGGGTTTTATGAGGCTGCCAGCTTTAAAGTGGATGCCTCTGGTCAAGGGATAAGGTGAGAATGTGTGGGTGAACATTCAAATAAGCACTTTGAAAACTCTTGTCTATACAAAGCTAAGACGTGGTTATTCATTGTCACTGCCCCAAGCAAAACAATTGAAATGTTACATCCTACTGAAGGTGGGCATATCAGTGATTAAAATGAAGCTACGTGGCTGTAACCTCAAAAAGTCATCAATTCAACACCGTCATCTCTTCCTTGCCTCGCCCTTGTAGGCATTCATTCCACCTGCTGGTAGAGTCTGCCGGTTAGAAACGTCCTTCCGTCCTTCTGCTGAATAGAGTGGACTCTAACCTAGGGGCTATAAATACATTTGAAACAGAGACATCTTCAGTGTTATTTGTGGAAATTACACAAACCCCCCTCTCTTGAGAATATGCTTCTTTACATCACACCAATTAAAATTAGTCCTCTTACAAGGTATTTAGATTTATTTCTATTATCTAGCTTCCAAGTTTAGATTTTTATCTTTAACTTTTCCTCCTCCTTTTCTCTCGATCTGATCTCAACTTCAGTGCCATTGCAGACACACCATTTTCACACAGCTCTTCAGGAATTTAAAATATCCCCGAGTTCAGAGGGAAAGGCCCATGGGCAACTCTAGTTTTCAAGCAATCTAAAGAATCCTGATAAGCCTGCCTCCTTTCGTATATGTACTCTCCCCCCAGCCTCGACACCACACAGCAATTAAATGACACTGAATTTAATGACAACCACAGTGACTCTGGGCAAGGGAGGGACAAAAGGAGATGGAGAGGCTTTATGGGAACAAGAATATCCTGTTTATTGAGCAGTGAAGAACCAAAGTAAACAGGGAGACATCAGGGCCATGCCTCAGCTATCCATTCTTGAGCCAGTGCCAAGGCTGTCCAGGTGGCATCTGGCTTTCAATTGACTAAATTACTTACACCTGATGGTCACCTTAGTTTAGTTGCCCAAGTAGGGTGACTACGTGAGCTTACTTTCTTATTGTCTTATCTTGAAATTCACCTCTCCTTTGACTGGGGCAACTGCTCCCTAGGATGGAACCCCCATTTCCACCCAGTCCCTATTTCATGTCTCATACCAGAGCCCATTCAGGACAAAGTGGGGGATAAATGGACAAACCCCTGGGAGTTGATCACTCTTCCCTCACCTCCTTAGGGCCACAAGTCTCCCCTGCCCACCTTCTATCTCCTCACTCGTTCCCGCAGGTCGTGGTTCATCCTGGCCCCAATCTGAAATAGACTCTGTCTGGGGTCACCAGGTCTGGAGAGTGACCTTCCTCTAATTGTAGCAGAGGACTTGTTCCTGGCATCCAAAATTAGAATCATTTGTTATAATATTATGCTTTGGGTACACATAGTTTTGTGTCATAGGCTACAAGCTACTCATCATGGATCATTGTTTCTATGAGGCAAAATGCATTCTAAGTATCAATAGACTTGAAATGAATTTGGTAGACACTTCTGCCACTTAACCCTACATTCTGACATTCAGACACATATTCCAGGAATTCAGTTCTCCAAACACAAACCTTGGTCACAATTGAAAGCCTGGCACCACTATAGTTAACATCTTTCTTACCCTCTGAAGACTCAGCCATGGTAATGGCCACGTTGATGTACTCTCTGCATGATTCTGTACCACATCTGTTTTCATTGTCTTTGTCAAAAGGCATTGGAAAAAAGTGCCATACCTAATTTCTAACCCACTATTTCTGCATCAGAAATATAATTGACTCTAATCCCTAACTCCATGAAAAAAAACTGCATGAACTACTTTAAATTAGTCCCACTAAAATGATATAGCATTCAATGGAGTTTATTTTAAATTCCTTTAACAAGTATTTATCAAACTATTAAAATGTGGCAGACACTGGGCCAAACACGAAGGGTATAATAGTAAACAGGATATTCTTGGTCCCTATGCTTCTGGAATTTACCTTCCTTGGAGGTGAGGAAGTAGTCAAGGGTTTAATTTTTAAATGAGATAATAGAAAAGAAATGTCATCCAACTGAAGGGAAGAACTGAGGTTTAATAAACTGGGCCTTGTATAGGACCATTGGTTACATTCTTTTAAAAACCTTTTTATTATGAAAATATATATTCAGATAAGTGCACAAAAGATGTACAGCTTAACAATTTATTACATAACCACTACCTAGATTTAAAAAAAATAGAACACTACCAGTATTGCAGAAGCCCTCCTTATGCTCCCTCCAAATCATTACCCTCACCTTTGTCATAAATCAAGTATCCATATGCATGGGTCTGTTTCTGAGCTATTTTGTTCTGTTTATTTGTCAATCCTTGTGACAAACTATAATGTCTATCCAATAGAGAAATTCTCTCATCTTGTTTTTCTCGATGACTGTCTTCACTATTCTCAGTCTTCTGCATTTTCATGTAAGTTTTAGCATCAGTTTGTTGAATTTCACAAACTGCTGGGTTTTTGATTGGGATGTTATTAAATTTATACACCTTTACCATGTTAGTCAGGAGTCGGCAAACTTTTTTCTTAAAGGGCCAGATAAATACTTGAGGCTTTGTGCGCTGAGGCAAAATTGAGGATATTAGGTAGATACTTATATAACCATTAAAAAAGGTAAAAACCATTCTTAGCTCACAGGCTTCTGAATCTAAATAAATTAGATGCTGGCTTGAATGGATTTGGCCTGTGAGCTGCAGGTTTCTGGCCCTATAAATCTGTTTCCTTTTAATTTCTCTCAGTAATGTTGTATGAGGTTTTGTGCTGTCTTGCAAATCTACTGTTCAAGTTATCCCTAGCTCCCAGTTATCTAGTTTTCTCTTTAGCTGTGCCTAATCTGCTGTTAAAACCTTCCCGGAATTCTTAATTTTGGTGATTGGATTTTTTTAAACTCTAGAATTCACTTGTTTTTTCACATGTCCAGGTAGCTGCTGCATTTCCTGAAACTTGTACCTCTCCTTGAACAGAGCAAGCAGTTATTTTACAGGTTCTGTCTGACAGCTCCTGTCTCCAGCCTCTCTGGGCTTGTTTCCATTGTCTGTTGTTTTACTGGTTTTCTTATTATCTTGTCTCATTTGCTTTGTTACATTTTATTGTATTCAGGATATTGTATTAGCAAAATTGCAGAAACAATTCGAAATTGAGGATGATGGTATCTTTCTCTAGAGAGGGTTTCTGTTTGCTTATGCCAAGGGTTTGGGGAAACTACCACTTTGGGATCACCTTCATCTAATTTCAAGGATTGAGAGCATTGGAAGCTGAGCTGCGATCTCCTGAGAGAGGCTTTCCTACCTTCCTACTTCCAGTTCATCCCTGTTCCTGGGGTGCAAAGGACTGAGGGCCGCAACCCAAAGTGAGGGACATTCATCAGGTCCACCATCCTTTGACAGGCCCTGTCCCCTACTTCTGGAAGGCTGTCAAAATCACTCATCAGCAGCATTCTGAACTGCCTCCTCCAAGTTTGGTAAATGCCCCCAGAAGAAGAGTGGCCCATAACACTAAGCCCATTTCCCAGGCCTCCATCTTCTCAGTGGTCCTGGTTCAGTAATTCTTCAAAGTCACATTAGCTCTCTGATGCCTTTGGATTTTTAAAATATTTTGTCTAGCCTTTCTATTTGCTGTCAGTGGGATGGTCAGTCCAAATTGGCTATCCTCCATTACCAGGAGCAGAAGTCCTCATTAGTTATATGTTACAGTTACTTGAGTAGTCTCATACCTAGCATGGTAACAATATGTCAAATGTCAGTACATCATTGTCCATCTTTGATTCTACACTAAAAAAGAATTTTGTAGAAACAGTTAGGCCTTGGAAAAATCAATTGCTCTCAACAGGAATTTCAGGTTTCTATACTCATAGCAGCAAGCATGGGTTACCTCTGTCTACCTGTAGCAGTTAAAATAGCAGTTAACTGCTTCACAAGTCTTTACTAAGAGCCTATTGTGTGAAGGGAACGAAGAGATGACATTATCCTATTATTTTATAGGAGACACTAAGTGATTAAGTAGTTGACAGACCTCAAGATTAACCCTAAGTTTCAGCTCTCCTCTGCTTGTTCAAATTATATATTCTTCTCAAGGACATACAGGAATCTAATTTCCACTGCTTAAATGCCTTTATTTCTTTCAGATCAAGCTGAAAAGGCAGAATAACAACTCGACATTTTTGGCTACCAAGGCAACAATGTTTGTCAATTCTCAAAAAAAGAAATACAAATAACCAATAAGTATATAAAAACTTCATTAGAAATAAAATAAATGCAAATTAAAACAGAGATACTATTTTTTCTATTGAAGTGGCAAAATGTTCTTTTAATGATAATAAATACCCAGTGTCAGAAAGGGTTCAGAGAAATGAGTGCTCTTTTACACTGCTGGAGGAGGGTAAATTAGCACAGGTGTTTTTGAGGCACAGGTCTTTTTGAGTGTGTTTGCTGTATTGTTTATGTGTCAATACAGCAAAGCCTTGAAAACATGCATCTTCTGCAATTCTACTTACAATAATGTATGCCAAGAAAATAATTAAGAATGCATATACAGATTTAACTATAAGGTTGCACATTATATCACAATGTTTATAAGAAACTGGAAACAATCTAATAGTGGACTGTTTAAATAAATTATTGTACAGAAATACAATACTAAAAACAATGGTGTACACAGATGGAAATCTACTGACATGAAAAGTCAGTATTTTGTTAAATGGAAAAAGCAAGTTATAAAAGAGTACAGTATGATCTCATATTTGTTTTAAAAAACCATACATGTTTATATACATATATATATAGAAAAACACTGAGAAAGATATACACCACTTTACCATTGGCAATCTCTGGATGGTGGAAATATGAGTGATTAAAAAATTTTTTATACTCATTTTTGTATTTGCAATGAATGGGTACTATTTCTGTGATTAAAAAAGGAAAGAAAAGTAAAAGCCTAATTTTAAAAAATGCTTTGCCTAGATTTTGGCTTATATGAGGGGCCATATGCCCCTAGAGGCATCTATTTGGTTTTGTTCCTTCTGACCTGAATGAATAAATCTCACAGATGTTTTTCTGCAAATGCCATAATCATAGCATTTGACCGTTTGTCTGGAAAACAGTTTTCTCATTTTCTACTATAACTCATTGAGGCTATGACTGAGGAAGGAAGCCACCTTTCTATGGGAGTAGGTTGGTTGCAAAATTGTGCCCAAGGTCTGCACTTTAGTTGGGGAGCCCTTAGAGTAAGTTCTGGGGAGAAGGAAGGAGGAAGCAACCAGAAAACAGATGCAAAAGAATGGGCTGCAGATTGTAGGGTCTCTATTTAGTCCTTATTTCAATTCTAGGTCTCCTGAACCTTAGAGGTAGGGATGATGGAAGGATACCTGAAACCTGGTTATACAGATTCCTTTTAAGATGGTAAGTCATTTCAGAAGAGAAATGACAGAACAACTCAAGATCATATTGAATGGTTAAACAAGTTGGCTAATATCAAACAGAGCAACCCCACAGCTGTAGAAATAGAGGCATCTGGGTGGAAAGTTTGTATTCTGGATTGGTATAGAGATTCCAGTGGAACCCAAACTCTGTGAAGACCATGCCCAGTAGGTTCAGTAAATGATGACACTATCCATTAAAGATTTCTTTCCTAAGAACAAAAGAAGAGTTATTTGTCCAAATGAGACAAACCTATAAACTCATGGATAATATGGCAAGGGCCTATCTCTCCTATATCCCACATCCTCCACTCTGATTCCAAGAGATCCTGGGAAAACGGCCAGGGCTGAGTTTTCCTTGGGGTGGCTGCCAGATGGGGATGAAAATCTGATTCTCAACTTAACAGGCAATAGCGGGGACTAATATGAAGAGAAAACACATCAAGATCTGAAGGGAAGAGGGGCCACGTTCATCTTTACAATAAAAAGTCACTATCAACCTGGAGTAGAGGCTCTCAAACATGGTATTAGAGGTGTGTCCAAAGTAATGTGTTTCTGATTCGTAGTTTAAATACTGAAGTTTGTAAATGCTTTACTTTTAAAAACAATAAATTACTGTAGATAAAATTAGCCATACAACAAAGTCACTCTCGGATACCTGTATGCTTTCTTGAATGAGAGAGAAAAAGGTGGTTTCAACTATCAGCACATGAGCATCATCTGTCACGTGTCATCATGGCTAAAAGGTTGAATATTGCTCTTCTAGAGCAAGAAACTAGGGAGCCCCTGGGTAAGAGAAAGCGCAGGCAGAATGCCAGGGAAAAGATCTGTGGAAGTATCCCAGTGTCCTAAAACTGGGGGAAAGGAGAGATTAGGAAATGTTGTGATGCCAAGTGAACTAAGCAAGAGGCATTCAGTTGAGGCTTTAAGGAAGTAAGGTTAGCTCTCTGCATGTTCAACTGGACATATTGATACTCAGTTTATATTGGTACAGAGAATGTGGCAGCAGAACAGTTATACCAGGTTAAATGCCAGTTCTTGTGGGGAGTAGCTTTTACAGTTGGGGTGCAGCTGAGTCCTCCTCCCCTCAATTACTCATGGGAAACCCGTTCCAAGGCCACATAGAAACTCTTCTTGTCATCTAGGCAATGCCAGCCAATTGGTCCAATTTCACAGTCTGCGCAGACCAGAAACTTGATGTTGCCCACATCCTTGGTGAAGCCCACGTTCTCAAAGATGAACATATCATCAACCAGCCAGTGCTCCTGGAGGAGATCACCATCAGGATTGCTGCCATCAGCCAGAGCTGGCTTCTTTCTCATGGAGGGAAGAAAAAGCTGTAGTGGCAGAGAACAGAAAGAATACAAAAGCTGAACTAGCTTGGTCAGATCATCACCCCTATTCTACATATACTTACACTGTGCCCTAGCAGTTTCTTGAAATGAAAACGAAATGAGGAGCCCTATTATTAAGTTACAGACTAGGATGCTGGGTGGCTCCTCTGTTGCCTCTGACCCATGTCCTGATTCTTAAGAGACGTGAAAGAAGAACTCTGGTTGCTGTGGTAACTTGACTTCATTGCTGTCCTTAGCATGGCCTATAAGGCCCTACCTGTTCCTAATCTCCCTCATTATGTTCCTGTTCCTACCTCATTATGCTCCTCCTTCAAACAGGGTAAGGCTACTCTGCCCTCAGATCCTGGCAAGGCAAGCTCCTTGATGTTCAGCTCAACTGTAACCTCCTCAGGAGGTCTTCTCTAACCAAACAATCTCAATTAGCTTCCCATAATGCCCATTGTATTTTTATTTTTAAAACGGCTTTACAGGGGCCGGCCCGGTGGCAAAGTGGTTAAGTTCTCGCGCTCTGCTTCGGCAGCCCAGGGTTCGCAAGGTTGGATCCCGGGCGTGGACCTGCACCCCGCTTATCAAGCCATGCTGTGGTGGGATCCAACATATAAAAAAAAAGTGGAGGAAGATGGGCACAGATGTTGGCCCAAGGCCTATCTTCCTCAGCAAGAGGAGGAGGATTGGCAACAGATGTTAGGTCAGGGCTAATCTTCCTCACCAAAAAAAAAAAAAAATTAAACCGGCTTTACTGAGGTATAACTGACACACCCACTGCACATATTTAAAGTGTACAATTTGATACATTTTGGCACATGTATGCACCGATGAACCACTACCATCATCAAGATAATGAGCATATCCATCACCCCCAGAAGTTCCCTTATGCCACTCCTTCTTTATGTTTACTTACCATTCTCTGAAATTATCTTAATTTATTGGCTTATTTACCATGGGTCTCCCTCTAATCGAATGTAAGCCCCTGGAAAGCAGGGAGCTTACCTTTCTTGTTCATTACTATATCCCCAGTGCCTAGAATAGTAACTGGTATAGAGCAGGAACTCAAATATTTGTTAAAAGAATAAATACAGAATATCTGGCTGTCCTCTATTCCACCATTGTTATGAATATGCTGGATTTATCTTATAAAAAGAACATTAAAAAGGAAAATCTAGTTCTAGAATTTGGAATATTATCCTTAGGATCCTTGTACCTGCTAATTAACATGCCTTCCCAGTCTTCAGGAGAACACCCCTGGCACTGGCACACTGCTGTGCAAGCACATACACACACACATTCTCCCTTTAATTTCTTCCATATGGCTAGTTTACACACCTAGACCTGCCCCCGACTACTAAAAAAATACAATGCCAGCAAAGCTTGTTACCCCTCTGCTGTTCATCATTATGACTGCTGCCAATACACTTATTTCCCACCCCACAATAGACGTTTAATGCATCCCCAAACTCTAACAAAATAGGATGGCCTCAGTGTGCTAGTCTGGGATTGGCAATCAGAATAAAAGCAAAAATTTTTTAAAAATTGGACTGACATTAGTCCAAAAAAGGTAAATGCTTTGGTGGGGATGAGTAAGCCTCTCCCTGAATGTTACAGTTAGGAAGTCCACAAGAGCTAATAGTGTGTATTAAATACCCTGGAGTTTACACTTCTGAACTCTAGGCCATACTGTAGCCAGTAGGGAGGGTATCCCTGATAGGGAGGAAGGAGCACTGATTCAGAACACTGATTCAGAACATTTCTACTCCCCATCCTCCAAGCACTTGGCTTATTAAAACAAATATCTATGCACTACCCTTTGCTGTGTCACCTGAGACATCATCTGAGGACATCACAAAATATGACAGTCTCTCCGGGTATACTGTCATTCCAGTCACTCTTTTTGCCTCATCTGATGTTTAAATGAGTCCCTAATGCTTGGTTTTACCCTAAGGGAAAATGAGAACAGGCAGAGGCAAATGAGTTAGGAATCAAAATTCAGGAACCAGGAAACCGGGATTCCTTTCCTAACTGTAACTTTCTGTGGGCCTAAATTTCTCTAAAACTCTTTCTGGCCTATCCCCTACGTTGTAGGGGTCAAGTCACATCTTAACTAAATGGAAGAGGAGAAAATCAAAGACTACTTAAGCATTAGCCTTCAGGAGGCATTCAACAAAGAAGCACCAGCTTCCCTCGCACTGTTCCCATTTACAGAGCAAAACGCCACCTCTGCAGTCTCGTTTGATTAATGATTTAAGGGAAATACTATTATTAACTATTCATTCAAGGAGTCATTCTGAGTCCTGTTCCCTCTATTCCTCAACAATCCCATTTTTATTTAAATCCTATAAGTCAGACCCACAAGACTATACCTATATTATGTATATGTATGTGTATCTGTGCATAGATCTCAACCTATTTACTGCCACGCTGGGGACAAGTGCCAGGGTCACGTTATGGGATGTAACATTGGGGCTACAATGAGGTATTCTGGACAGACTACTGGGATAGAAATCAAGAATTAACATCTAGGGGCCGGCCCCATGGCATAGCGGTTAAGTGCACACGCTCTGCTGCTGGCAGCCCGGGTTCGGTCGGGCGTGCACCAATGCACTGCTTGTCAGGCCATGCTGTGGCGGCGTCCCATATAAAGTGGAGGAAGATAGGCACAGACGTTAGCCCAGGGCCAGTCTTCCTCAGCAAAAAGAAGAGCATTGGCATCGGATGTTACCTCAGGGCTGATCTTCCTCACACACACACAAAAAAAGTATTAACATCTAGGGGCCAGCCTGGTGGCATAGTGGTTAAGTTTGCACATTCCGCTTTGGTGGCCCAGGGTTTGCCAGGTCGGATCCTGGGCACGGACCTACTCACCACTCATCAAGCCGCGCTGAGACAGCGTCCCATATAGAAGAACGAGTAGGACCTACAACTAGGATATACAACTATGTATTGGGGCTTTGGGGAGAAAAAAGAAAAAGAGGAAGACTGGCAACAGATGTTAGCTCAGGGCCAATCTGCCTCACACACACACACAAAAAAAACCCAAAAAGAATTAATATCTAATTTGAGGCAGCTAACTCAGTTGGTTGGGGGCCAAAGTTGCCAGTTAGATCCCGGACCAGGTGGGTTAACTTTGCTGTCAGGACCCCAGCCAGTACCCCTAATCCTGGACAGGCTCGTCAGAGATACGTAGAACACCACAACTCAGTGAGATTCTATTGATGTCTCAGTGAAACTCCTTTTCCTTTTTGAAGAGCTGTTAACAGTACCCTTTAAAAAAATAAATATTTTCTTTCTCTTTGTAAAAATACATTCTCATTATGGGAAACTTGGCAAGCATGCTACAATATAGATGAGAATAAAAAATGTCAGAATACAGAGTAAACTTGTTGACTTTTTCATAATTTTCCCCCTTCTGTGAGTACTTGTGGTGGTTTAAAACAGGTCCACAAATTCTTTGACAATTCTTCCATCAAGAGGTGGAGTCCAGGGGCCGGCCCGGTGGTGCAAGCAGTTAAGTGCGCGTGCTCTGCTGCCGGCGGCCCAGGGTTCGCCGGTTCGGATCCCAGGCACGCACCGACACACCATTTGGCAGGCCATGCTGTGGCAGCGTCCCACATAAAGTGGAGGAAGATGGGCACGGCTGTTAGCCCAGGGCCAGTCTTCCTCAGCAAAAAAAGAGGAGGATTGGCAGATGTTAGTGCAGGGCTGATCTTCCTCACACACAAAAAAAAAGAGGTGGAGTCCATGCCTCTCCCCTAGAACCTGGGCAGGCCACTGTGTCTGCCTCGATGAATATAATGCTAAATAAGAAGTGACAGGCTAGGTTAGAAAAGACCATGCCACTTTTGCTAGTTTCTCTTGGAACACTTTGCTCTGGGAGCCTTCAGCTTCTATGTAAGAACCCCAGCTACCCTAAGGCCACCATGTAGACAGACCATGTGGAAAGATCCAGTGAAAGACGGAGATGCCTCCAAAGCCTGTTCCAGTGCTCAGGTGTTTGGGTCTTTCCAGTCCACAGGCAGACACATGAGTGAAAAAGCTTTTGAGATGAACCTTTTGACTGCTGTCACGAAAAAGACCCTGAATGAGAACTGCCTAACTATGTCCAGTCAACCCCCAAATTTGTGAGCAAAATAAATGTTAATGTTTTAAGTCACTGTTTTCGGGTGATTTTGTTATGTAGCAATAGATAACTGAACAATACTGTCTAACATAGCTGAGATGCATGTTCCATTTTGATCCCTGATTTTTTGTGATAAAACATACTTAACATACAATTTACCATTTAAGTCATTTTTAAGTGTACAATTTAGTAGTATTAAGTGCATTCACATTGTTGTGCAACCATCACCACCATTCATCTCCAGAACTACTTCATCTTCCCAAACTGAAACTCTATACCCATTAAATAAAAACTCCCCATTTCTCTGCCCCCCAGCCTCTGGCAACCACTATTCTAACTTTATGCCTCTATGAATTTGACTACTTTAGCTACCTCATGTAAGTGGAATTATAGAGTATTTGTCTTTTTGTGACTGGCTTACAGTCACGTGTCGCTTAACGATGGGGACAGGTTCTGGGAAATGCATCCTTAGGCGATTTTGTCATTGTGTGAATATCATAGAGTGTACTTATACAAACCTAGATGGTATAGCCTACTACACACCTAGGCTCTATGGTACTAATCTTATGGGACCACCATCATATATACCCTCTGTCGTTGACCAAACCATTGTTATGCAGCATGTGACTGTATTTCACTTAGCATAATATCTTGAGTTTTTAAATTAGTTTTAAAGTTTTATTGAGATAATTATATGTTCATACATAGTGAATAAATAATACAAAAATACAGATAAATGATAATTATTTCTATATTAAGAAATAATACAGAAATTCCACGTACTCTTTACCCAGTTTCCCCTAATGGTAACATGTTGCAAAACTATAGTACATCACAACCAGGATATCGACAATGATACAATCCACTGATTTTATTCAGGTTTTCCTAGTTTACTTGTACTCATTTGCATGTGTATGTAGTTCTAGACAGTTTTATCAATTTTATCCCGTGTAAGTTCATGAATCCAACACCACAGTCAACACACTGAACAGCTCCATCACCACAAGGATCCCTCATATTACCTTTTATAACCACACTCACCAATACCCCCAGCCCCCCTATTCCTATCCCCTGGCAATTACTAATTCATTTCTAAAATTTTGTTATTTCAAAAATATCGTATAAATGGAATCATACAGTAAACCTTTCAGGACTGGCATTTTTCACTCAGCATAATTCCCTGGAGATTCATCCAAGGTGAGTGTATCAATAGTTCATTCCATGGTATGGCTGTAGCACAGTTTGTTTAATCACTCATCTGGTGAAGGACAGCTGGGCTGTTTTCAGTTTTTGGCTATTACAAATAAAGGTGCAATGAACATTCGTGTACAGGTTTTTGTGTGAATATAAGCTTTCATTTCCTCCGGGATAAAGGTCCCAGAGTGCACTTGCTGGGTCCTATGTTAAATCATATTTAGTTTTATTTATTTTTT